TAAGTTCGGTCACAATTTATCATTTAGTCTTTGTTTTTGCATATCTTTCAAGACATAATTATAGAATTAATATTCAATAGGTTTGAAATGGGTCAACTTAATTACCTAATTTAAGTTGAGCTGAGTTACAGTTACCGGTTGAGTTGAATTCGTGAGTGAATTCATTTAATTATAAATTATTTTTATCTTATTTATTTTAATTTTTATTTAAAATTTATAATTAAAATATAATTATTTTTTTTATAAAAATTAATAATAATTTAAATAATTCAAATGTTGAATGGAATGAATTTCAATAAGTCCATTATTAATAATAAAACAAGTTGATTAGCAACATTAAAACAATTCTATAAAAACAAAGAAATAAGTATTTATAATAAATTTGATTTGTGCTTTACACTAAACTATTAGTCAACCCCAAGCGTGTGGTTCAGCGGTAAGGGTTGATCCACAATTAAGCAAGGTCGTGTATGCAGTCGCGTTAAATTTTGGGGTCAACTATCCTACCTTTTAAGGTGTCTCCAATGTAGCGAAGAAATTAATCACTGCTCACGGCAGTGGATATTCCAGGGACGGAAAAAAAAAACTATTAGTCATATTTAAGACCTCGTGCACTTTGTGTGAAAATAAGTTACATCTGTTAAGGAAACATCTAACATAACATGTGTTTATCCTTTACACCACCAAACTATTAAGAGCTCGTGCACTTTGTCTGCTATAAACAGTAAAAAGGAAAGAAGTTAGCACAAACAGAAAACTGATAACTATAATATCTTTTATGTATTCGCTTGTACTTCCTTATTTCATATTACATGTTTAATTATAAGTGATTAGTATATTAAATTTAAAATTGAATTATTTAGATAGTGTCTAAGTTAACAGAAATAAAATAATCGTTAATCATTAATAATAAAATCTACAAATATATGATGGCAGTTATATTCATTAATAATAATTAATGTTTTATTTATACTAATACAAATAGATAAAAGAGATAAAACATTTAAAACTGAGAAGAAAATTATTAAAATCAATATACAGTTAAAAAATTCAAAATTTTTAAAATAAGTTTAAATAAGAAATAGTTAAAATTATTGTAATATTAAAAGTCAGTTTATGTGAATAAGAATAATCTTTAATATCTTTATCTTTATATATATAAAAGTAGAAGCATTGAAGTAGTACTGCGGTCGTCATTCGTGAATGCAGAAAATTTATGAATCTACAGTCTCATTTTGCCACTTATTAATTTATTTATGATATAAATATGTTTTTTTTTATATTTAATATAAAAATTTAAATAATAATTTATTTAAAAATATATTTTATAATAAAATTTTTAAATAGAACATAAATATTATGAATTTTAATATTTTGATTTTTTAATTAATATGTGCAATAAATAGAAAGTATCAAAGGTAAATATACATGTTACAAATTTTATTTTATCAAAAATTAACTTTAATATATTATATTATATATGTGAGTATTAATACACACACTCACACACACACACACACACACACATATATATATATATATATATATATACACAATTATATAGAGAATAATTTATTTTAAATTTGATATAATTCTGGAAATTCACACCTTTGTATGGGTAACATTTGAATAACTCTCATTAATATTTCAATGGTATTTTTTGTCACCCTTGTCGTTAAGGTTGAGATGGCCGAGTGGGTCTAAGGCGCCAGATTAAGGTTCTGGTCCGAAAGGGCGTGGGTTCAAATCCCACTCTCAACACTGTCTTTAATTTTTTCTATATTTCTTTTATTTAATTGTATCAATTACAATTTTTCAGACATTCTTAATAAATGTTGAGATGGCCGAGTTGGTCTAAGGCGCCAGATTAAGGTTCTG